GCGTCGGCATCCGCTTGCTGGGGGCGATGGAACAGTTTGTTGTCCCAACAGAGATCTGATTGCCCGTTAGTGGACTCAAGTTAGCGCCATTTCAGACTTTCACGGGTCTTCACCGAGTAAAAGAGATCCAGAACGTGAGAAAGAGAGGATATTACAGCAAGAGAGAGCAAAATCCCATTCATTGCTAGAATTTCGTTTCGAAGAGAAGGGGCAAGTGCGAACTCTTGATTAGCAACTTTCCTTGTTCCTTGAGAGAACGGACAATCATCGTCTAATTTATCAGCCAATTCAATCTCTTCTTTAGTCACTTTTTCGCTATCGCGCCCTTTTTTTACTCCTTCTGTTTTTATTCCGCTTCCAATCGCCAATATAACATTTTCTCATATTTCTATATTAATTTTTACGCATTTATTCTATCGTTTATATTTAATTATTATTTAATCTATTGCAATTCTGGGACTTTATTTCGTTTTCAAAATCTCGCGTTAAATAAAGAAGACTATATTATGTTTTGAGGACAAGGTAGAAAAGAGTGAGAGAACTACAAACACTTACGCGAAAAGTTAAATGAAGTCGACGATTTATGAATTATTAAAGTCTTCATTCCAATGGTATTCCGTTTATTTAGTTTAAACTACAAATAATTAACATTTATATATTATCAATGTAAATTACAATATAATTTAAACAAATCTTTTCTTAACGTTCGGAGTTATCCGTCGTCATACGAAGAAATGCTTAATCTCGGATTTTGTTTTTTGTTTAAAATTATAGTTTATACAATATTAATGACATATGAATGTTAATTATTATGTTACGGTTTAAAGCTAATATCTTTTGACTGAATACATCTATAAATGATCGTTGGTTTTATTTAAAATTTTTCTTGTATTCGCAATTTCTTTCTCTTTCTATTCGTATTCTTCATCCCTACATCAAAAATATTAGGCCTATTCTTTTTAGCTGAACTGGTGCAAAAGTTCAGCCAAAAAGAACAGGCCTATTGAAAACATGTAATATACACTGTTTACCTTAAATTGTATGTGCGTTCTACGACAACATTACAGTATAGTATTGACAATGAGCATATATCTATCACTGTGAATGCAAAGAATAAGAAGTTGTCGTTATAATAATATACTGTAATAATTTTCGTTTACTCCTTACAATTCCTCGACACTCCTCTATGTCTTAAAGAATATTCTAATTTTCGTACCAATGTTATCATCAAATAAATATTCTCCAAGTAGGCTAAAAATTAAGAGATTATCTATTCTGCCCTTCAAAAATAGAAAATATATTCAAAAGAGTATAACTTCGTAAAAATGATCATAATGGTGTTTATCCGAAAGAATCTTAAAGCTTAGAGTCTCTGCTTTTGAGTAACACAATTTAAAATTTTGTGGAACTTAAATCAACAGTGTTTTCCGACTTTTGGTCGCTGAAAACAAATTTAGTGGCTATATAAATTGGACTATCACATATTAGATTTCAGAGAAAATTGAAGTTAAATGTATCAAATTAACGTTTTTTAAACCATATTTACCATTTTTTGAGATTAAAATATTTTTTTTATCAATATATTTTTTAATTTCATTTACGTTTACCTTAAAGTACTGTCTTTTACCTATAATATGTGAATTTATATTTATTATAATACAATTTTTTTACATGTATAATTAACATTATGAATTATAAAATTGAATGGATAATTATTTATTCGATCTAATGATTTAATCTCTTGAGGGACGAATTTTCGAAGAAAAAATTATTTTACTTAATGTTTCAAATGTGTTTATTTAACAACTAGTAAAAAGATAAGAGTCAAGAACGAACAACATATAAAATCATATACTTGAATTTATTAAGATATCAAATTTATCCATAGAAGATAAATGGGAATTTAACACAATCAAAAATATGGAACGTTTCGACTTATTGTTAACCTTCTTCAATTATTTTATGATCACAATAAATATTAAAAATAAATTTACAAAATAATTAAATGTTGGAAAGAACATAGAAAAAAACTATTGAAACCATAACAAAGGTTGGACAAAATAACATTGTAAATAAATAATATTAATGATAAATCTTTATTAAGTGAGTAGTCAGCTTAGATCCCAGAAGTGTTTCATCGTTCAAAAGCAAGAAAAAGTAGAGTCCAAGTGTAGTCAATGTATAAAAGTCGAATTGAAAGGTCTCAAGTAAAACTAAACATATATGTAAAATAAATAAATCAATTTAAGAAATTAAAAAGAAATTACATATTGTAATAAAAACTTACTAAATTGAAAAATTAAATTTTAAGAGAATATCTGTCCAAACAATGATTAACAATAATTTTTTTAATTATAGTCTGATTCAACATTTAACTGTAGCCTGATTCAACTTTCTACTCTGTTGTAGAAAGAAGTTAACCTATCTGTATGCGCCACTTTACTCTTATATCTGGGGGATTTTCTAATACAAAATAGAACATAGCTGAGATTTTTAACGATGTTATAAGATCCTTCCTAATGACTTGGTAATTTAGGAGCCCTGTCTAGTTTGCTACGAAGATTGTACAACCAAATTTTCTGACCTTCAAAATGTAAGGATCTAGCCTTTTGATCATAACGACACTTAATCCCTTCAGATGTAGTTCCTATATATTAACGAACTTGATTATGAATATCTCTCAGTTTCTCTCTTAAGTCTGAAACGTAATTAAGACTAGAATCCTCTTTCCTATCATGAGGAGGTTATCTATGTAATAAATCCAAAAGCAAACGAAGATCTCGTTCTAAATACATTTTAAAAGGGAATACCCGGTAGTTTTGTATTTATAAATACAATATGATAATAGGAACGTCAGAATTTACCGATCCCAATCTTTCTGATTCTTTGAAATAAATTTCGCCAAATAATTCAAAATAGTCTGATGCTGTCTCTCCACCTGTCTGTCAGATTGAGGATGCAAAGCTGTGGTTCTTGTTTTTCTAATCCCTAAAAGAATCATTATTTCCTTAAATAATTGCGATTCGAAATAATTGCGATTCCTCCCCTGATGGTACCTCCTGTGGGATATCGTGCCTACAAACCTCCTGGTTAGCGAAAACCTAGCTCTTTTATTTTTTAAAGGAATAGCCTCCGACCATTTCACGAAGCAACCTGCTATTACCAACAAATACTTGTTTCCTAAAGAGATTAAGGAAGAGGCCCAAGAATATCCGTTTGAATTCTTTCAAAAAGGAGATCCAACATTTTTTTTACAAAACATTCTGATTTACCCTTGTTAAAAGGAACCTTTTTAGTTACACATAATCTACACCACTTTTTTACCTCCTTGCATGTGTGTGGCCTAATAAAATCGCTTCCTCATATTTTTCAGAGTTTTATTTATACCATAATGTCCATATGAAGGTGAATCATGGGCTATCTCAAGAATTTATTCTATCTTTTCTCGAGGAACAACAATTTGTAAGATGCTGGTTTTCAAATTCAGAGTTATCCACTTCTGATATAGAATTCCATCCTTTACAACTAGAGCATCCCATTGAAACCAATAAAGGACTGTGTGCAGTTTAGGCCCCGGCTGAACAGCATTGAGAGATAACTAGGATTGTAGGGCATCAAAAAAGAATTAAAAAGTTCCATTTGCACAACTTTGTAAAATAAGTTCCTTGAGTGCTATAGCTGTTCAAAGTTCATTATTATGACCATGTATTGTACCATTGCATGTATCACTGATACAATATATGATCATAATAGCGAACTTTGAACAGTCATCAGTGACTGACGATAGAAAATTTTAACACGTTAAGCGCTATAGCTGATTGTGAGTATAAAAAATTACTCCATGACTGAGTATAAATAATTAAATGCGTAAAAGAAATTTAAAAAAGTAGACTCGGAGCTTAACGTGTTAAAAATATTTCTTTAGGAAGTAGTATCTTACAGAACATATTCATACGTTTTTCAAGCAATTGATCTTTGATTAAATGTGAAAATCCTAGATTGAGGTGTAAAGTCTGTCGCGAGTGCATTTCGTGCGCTTTTCGCATTAATCGCTATGGTCGGTATGTCCCGTTTTTAGTTATGCAAAGTAAGTTGCAAGCGCACATTCAGTATGACGCTGTTCACTGTGTCGATGTAAGAATGGCAGCTTATTTAACAATCGCGAAAAGTTTTCTTTATTTAACCCAGTCTAATGCCTCACAACAGTGTCCTTTATATCTTCAAAATAATTGAAGTTTACTGTTGAGCGTTGCTATTTAATAATCTGATTATGTAACAAATTGTTCATATCAGTTACTTGGTCCGTCGCAAAAACTTGGAATGTTGTAATAGGAAGGATTGTCTTGATTCCGCATGATGTTCAATGTTTTTTACAGTTGGAAGAAAATTTCACACTTCCTAACAAAAATAAAGGTAGAATATTGTTCGAATGCATTAAGAACATTGAACATAATACACGTAAGTTTCCTATTGACAAAAGAATAGAGATCACCAATCATTCTATTCCGATTCTAAATGATCTGGTCAATACTCCTATCTTTACAACTCCGAACGATGAAAATTTATTTAGATTGAAAAAAGACACAAAGGAATTCACAGTTTCACATCCGAACATAATATTCACACGAGCAGACAAAGGGAACGTCACAGTTGCCTTAGATAAAGACATATATATTTTGAAGATAAAAGACATGTTGAGTGATAATGAAACATACACAGAAATACAAAGAGATCCCACGAATAAACTCACCAAATCTTTAACGGATATGTTGACGAGATGAAAGAGTCGTGGATTTATAGCTAATAGAAAATATAAACAATTATATTGTAGTGATGGATTACTACCGAGAGCGTATGCACTACCGAAGATACATAAACCGGATTGTCCTCTCAGAATCATCGTTTCAACGATAGATAGCTCACTTTATAATTTAGCAATTTTTATACACAACATTTTAATTGAAATAGTTCCGGAAGCTGTTACATAAAAAATAGCTTTCAATTGGTTAAGAAACTTAAAGAAATTAACATTAACGATGAATATAAGTTGATTTCATTGGATGTTACATCACTTTTTACTAACATCCCCATAGATATAGCAATAGATTGCATCAACGAAAATTGGATATATATTGGAAAGAAATGTGAGTTACCGAAAAAAGAATTCATATTGGCGGTTTATCTTAGACTCGACTTATTTCAAGTTTGACAATAGCATTTATAAACAAAACTTCGGAGTACCATGGGCTCTCCGTTGTCGCCTATCATTGCTGATCTGGTGATGCAAAGACTAGAACGAAACGCATTGATAAAGTTTAACAATTCTTTTCCGTTTTATTATCGTTATGTTGATGACATATGCACTGCGGTCCCTACTACTCAGATTGAATATATTTTAAACTGTTTCAACTCTTTCCATCCGAAATTACAACATACAATCGAAATAGGAGACGATATTTTGAATTTTTTAAATATTACCATTAAAAAGGCTAATAATTCTTTAGAGTTTGATTGGTATCTTAAACAGAGTTGTTCTGGTAGATATCTAAATTATTTTTCTGATCATCTAACATCTCAAAAAAGAGGCAATATAGGATTGGTAGATAGAGTTTTGTTATCGGATGAAAAATATCACAAAATATTTAATATTTAATAATTGAAAATCGATAATAATGATTTTACTCGAAAATAACTACCCACTAGAATTTATTTTTGATACGATCAATAATAGAATTCAATACTACTCAAAGGAAAAAATAGTTTTATAAGAAGCATCCAACACTGGAAACTCACAGAAACGAACAACACGGTTTGTGGTACCATTCATACCATCAATCACGGAAAAATTCAATAGATTTAACAATAAAAACACAAAAGTATCGTTTTATAGCGAGAATAAAATGAAAAAAATTTATCAAAGCTCAGAAGAATCTTTGTCCACAATTTAGTAAAAACAATGTAGTATACAAAATAAATTGTAAAAATTGCGATGCGTCTTACATTGGTCAAACGGGAAGACAGCTTAGAACGAGAATCACAGAACATCGCAAACATATAAACTGGAAAACTTCCAATCATTCGGCAATTACCGAACATAGACTACAATTTAAACACGACTTTGATATAACATTTGGGATAACATTTTGATTGTGGACGAAGAACCGTGTTACAATAAGCATTTAATTTCTGAAATGATTCATATTAAAAAACAGAAAAATAGTTTAAATCTACAGACGGACACCATAGGCCTTTACAAATCATATTTACCAATAATAAACGGTATTTGACTTTGCGTCACTAATATTACGTGAATATTAAAATTCTTTGTTCAGTCAGTGTTTGTCTTTTGTAACGTTCACAAGTGATTAGTCTGACCATCTGGTTGTTAAATTAAACGATTGACTCACTCTACATACAAAAATGAATTTGACCATCATCGGACACACTAATTAACATTTTTTCATATATATGTATGAATTCTTCGGTGAGTTCTATTTTGATTGACGATTATTCAGATTGTTTTCAATTTCTTTATATTAATTTCACAGTTGAATTGGAAATATTAACATTCAGTCGATCAATTGTATGGGAACAATTTCTGTCTGTCAACGTGCAATTCATCGGAGATTGTTAACTACTCACATATTTTTACTCATATACTGCGGCTTATGACTATAGTTATAGAAAATCTGGAGATAGCTCGATCAAGAAGTCGAAACATATAATTATTTTTGGACCATTGAGATATTGTCATACCATCAAGATAATTGTAAGAATTTAATCGAGGAAAAATTCTATTTTTTTTTATTGTTTATTATATTTTTTAATTAAATTGTATAGGTTATTGATTCTTACATGCCCTTTACTTAGATTTTTATTATTAAGTAATAGGAACCTCTGTCCACAAGTATTTATTGTGATGGTCACATACGCGCACCTCTGTATATAAGAATGTAAAAGCGAAAATATTTCGCAACCTGAGCGTGAGTGTTTTCTAACACACGATGTCGACCTGAGGAACAACCATGTACACACTTTTTCTAACTGCAAGATGTTCCAATGTCCAATTTTATTTGACAAAGAGGCTGCGGTTCAGTATTTTTTTTAGCTGTAACGTTTCTATCTCTCATTTCAGTGCGTTTTCTGTTACAATACACTAACAGGTATGACATATATATGTATACTTAAATGTGCTAGGGCTTTTGTGACACTACTAGGCTCTTGTTCCAAAAAGTCTAGCACTTCTCCAGTCAACGAATGTTTACGCGACTGGTTTTTAAAATATTTTCCACACATCGTCCGCAGTGGATCTCATCGCCGAGGAGGTAACCACTAGCTGAAATATTGTCTCATAGATTACATGATTTCATATGATTACATCTGATTACAAATAATTTTTTCCACTATATATGAAGTAATTTGGTAAAATACGATTTTATTTAATATTATACAATGGTTTCTCGTGGTTTTATATGTAATTATCGGATTATGCATAGAGATTTCATATAAATTTTATAATGATTTCGAGGATTCTGTTCCACGATTACATTAAGTGGTTACCCCCTCGCTCATCGCGGCTAGTAGCTGCTTCGAGATGACCCCGTATCAATGGCTGGTTTACCCCAATTGGTATATTCGCCACTTGTTCATCCCCCACTCCTCCAGGGCGAACTCCAGAGGCATCGCCGTCATTATAAGCAAATCTGAATTTCTCTGATATGACGGCATGAATCGCAAACAGGGACCGGATTAATGAAATGTACCAAATACATTTCAGATATTACT